TTTTAAACATAACTGAAGATGAAACATTTCAAAACATTGCACAGGTATTATAGTCCCCCTTCCTCTCTCCCGCAATATTTCCTTTTTCTCACCCAAGGGCTTTTTCTCCAGAAATAAATTCAAAGTTTAAGAGGAATTAAAATATCCAAAGCAGTTATGTGATTATTCAACCTAACCTGATTGACCTCTATGAATGAAAAATGAGTATGAACAGATTCATATGCATTTAAAAATGCACAAATACATCCACTTATGAAATAATTGAATATCCGCTGTTCAGACTAAGAGTAAACACATTGTGTTAGAAACTATATACACAAGTAAACCATCTTGTGCTTTTTAACCTCTCTCAAAAATAAAACATTACAACTTTGAGTGAATAATTCAACTCAGAACAAACTTTTTTTTTATTTACAGGTCATGTAGTTACAATTCACATATACAATTAATTTAGTATTCAATTCATATATCAATTAATTCATAATTCTATAGAACATTTTGGAAAAATATTGTGTCATCCATCTATTTAGATCTATGGAGACAGAGATAAATATATTGTTGTTCTTTTAAATTACTGATTTATCATTAAAGCTAAATTATCTTTTTAATGTATAAAAAGGAAATACTAATTTTGAGCAATTATTCTGTTTTAAACAAGTATATCTACTTTAATATTCTTTGGCAAATAGACATGTCACATCGTGATAACCGTACTAAAACTTTTTCACAAGACAGTACATCACAAAATACATCGTTGTTGCTATTAAAGTTTTTCACTATGTACATAGTCTAGTCTAACAATAAATGAGCTATTAAATTTTGTACAATGGCAGGCACATATTCTTAGGATCATATTTCTTTTGGTTTTCATTATGCACTTATTTAGGGAACAGTAACTTTCTGAAAAGTAATGAACGTTAACATAAACACACCTTTTAGGTTTCCAGCCATTTTAAGTAAGAAAATTTCCGTTGTAAAATCAGACTCATCTAAAACATTACTGAGAAAAAAGATTAAGTCTCTGTATATTTAAGTGGTTTTTTTAAAGGATCTATTCAAGGACTACAGAATGGAACAAAAATAAAAAACAACATTCTTTGTTAAAAAAATCTTACATCATATTACTGAATTCTTATAGAACCATGAACTCACACTAATGCCATTCTACAGAAAAAATATGAAATCATTGAATTGACATTCTATGTATAGTTGCAAAAATGCTCCCTTTTTGTGATTGCTAACTTCCATTAGTCGCAGTGATCTAGGAGTTAGGACAAAGTCAGCAAGAACCTTTTTAACAAGGCTCTTCAATGAAAGTTCCTTCATAATTCTGTTATATTGTAAAAATTACTTTAACTGAAGGAATAAAAAAAAAAACACAAAATTGAACAAGAAAACATATTTCCAATCAAGCTGAAACCTGAGGACTGATTTCCTGTCTTTCTTCCACTACCTGGCTAGCCCTACTCTTTCAAATTCCTAGAGAATTCTGGAGATAAAAATACCTGACTGTTCTGGGAAAAAATGGTTAAATCAACCATATTTGGTAAGAAGCTAAACATCCTCTACAGTTTCTGAGAATTTGTTATGCTTTGTGTTTTGTTTAGCATTTTTTTAAATTTGCTCTAATGAATGACTTGCTTCCTAATATTCTTATCATATAAAAAGATAGCATATCTTTAAATTATTTTTCTTGGAAAAGAATCAAAGAAAAACACTACACCTGTCCAGGCAATCTTGTCCATTTAAATAGCTCCTTCTTCTTCTCTGGAAAAGGTTCATGTGGAACCTCTCTCTGGATCTCACACAGTGTTGCACTACTT